CCGCACATCCCTAATATATATATATATATATATATATATATATATATATATATATGTATATGTGTGTATGTATGTATGTATATATATGTATGTAATGTATATAAGGAACATCCTGAATCTGCTTCTTCGCTGCTTTTCGGGAGTCTAAAAAAAAGTGTAAAATCATTTCCCAAAATTAAGATGAGAGTAATTCTTAATCTTTATTCTCAATGTTCCTGCAAGACTGGAAGCTGAGATCCAGGAGGCTCGCTTGAAGGCCAAGGAGGAGATGATGCAGGGCATTCAGGTGGCTAAAGAGATGGCACAGAAAGAGTTGAGCGAGCAGAAGAGTCTGTACGAGATCAAGATCAGAGCTCTGGAGAGAGAGTTGGTGAGATCTACATCATATATTACAGACAGCGTTTAGCATTTGTCTGTACTCCAGTTCCTCAAACACCGATGCTTTCTTCTTCAGAAGGAGGAGAGTGAAAGGAAAAGAGAACAGGAGCTGCATAAACAGAGAGCCGCCAGTCAGATTGAGCAGCTGCAGTCTGTAAAAACTCTACTGGAGAAGGAAGTCAGCAGCCATAAGAGACGTCTGCAGATGGAGGCTCAGGCCACTAGACAGGTGAAGAGCTTACTTAATATCTTAATTCATCTCTAGACGTTTTATAAGTGCAAAGGAAAATATATTTCTCTCTCCAAACAAACACCTGTATATAAGTTAAACAAGAACTCTCCATAGGTGTCATATATTTCATAAGTTAAAGAAACAGTCAAAACACTTAATTTTGCTCTTGAATTAATATGAGATTGGTTGTGCTTTTTATTACATTTTTTATCATTATTTCTTTTTTTGTAGGCGATGGCTGATCATGATGTCCGGCATGCTAAAATTGTAGCAGCTCTTGAGGCCGAAAAGAGGAAGATTGCCGAAGATTTGGCTCAGATTGAAATGAAACGTGCTCTCAAAGTCACTCAAACCCCTAAAATGGGTACTTGCACATATTCCATTTAAAAGACATTGAGTTTTCCATCAGTGTGATGTTCACCATCATCTTCTTCAATATTTGTAGCTATTCCGCAATGGGACGCCATGAAGCTGTCTTTGATGATTGAAGAAGCAAACAAAATCAGCGGCAAACTCAGAAAACACACAGTCTTCAGCAGGTACAGTTATTTAGTGTGTGAGGACATCAATATTTTTGGTTAATAGCATAAAAAATCAGTTTATTTAGATTATCGATAATTAAAATTCAGCTATTTACATTATGGACTTTAAAGAGTTTGTATGTGTTTGTGATTTGACGACAGACACGAGGCTGCTGATAAAGAGGTGGAGGGTGGAGACGCTCAACTGCAGGTCCAGGTTCAGAACACCAAACTGGGCATTTCCACCTTCTGGAGTCTGGAGAAGTTCCAGAGCAACCTGGCGGCCATGAGGGAAATCGAGCAGGTGTATTAATATTAATTGTTTATATATGGAAATAATTATTTCAGGTCCCTACCAGTTTGACGTCACACAGTGACATGTGACATCAGTCTGCAAGGTTATTCTAGAGGTTGTGGCCACTGGTGTTTGGTTTAAACACATAATTATACATAGCTGCATTTTTTGCCCTGGTTTGGTGGTGGTCTTTGTGTATGCATGTTTGGTTTTGTTTGTTTTGTCTTTGGTTGATTTTATATTTTGTTTGGTGTGGTTTTATGGTTTGACGCCTTATTTTAATTCAGCATTTATCTGTCTTTTTTGGTTTTATGTTGTTTGTGTGTTTGGTGTTGAATTCGTTTAGTCTGTGATTGTTTGTCTTTTGTTTGGTGTGGTTTCATTTTCTTTGATGCTTTTTAATTTAGTGTTTGTTTATCTGTATTTTTTGGTTTTTATGTTTGTGTGTGTATTTGTTTTTTTTGTCTTTCTAGTTTGGTTATTTTTGCTTTTATGTATTTTGGTTTGGGTGGTTCTATTTACAGATTCCTTTTTGGTTGTTTTTGTTGTTGTTTTTATCTTTTTTGGTTTATTGTTATTATTATTATTTTTTTTACACATTATAACCTCATTAATAGGGATGTAGCGATTCACTGAGCGATTAAATTCTCCATTTTGAGGGAGGGTCAGGGTTTCTGCAGGGACTTAAAAGTCTAAAATTTAAAAATCTAAATTTTAGGCCTTAAAGTCTTAAATTCTCTGTTCTAGGTCTTAAATATTTTTGCACAGGTCTTATTTTTCTGATGTCCATGTAACACCACATCTAATGCTCATTAAAATTCTTTTGGGTTGTTGTTGCTTGGTTTTCATGATGTTGTAGTTCTTTATTTCACCAGTCCAAAAGTTGTAATTTGCGGTTTTACCACTACAAATGAGACCAACATGCAACAGCCAATAAGCTTTCTTTTATTGAACTCAAATGCAAATGTGATGTCATCGATGTGTTTGCAGAGCTTTGCTTGAGTGCGCACAACGTGATTTCGACTGGTGGAGCTCACAAAATCAGACTTGAGCGAACAGTTTGTGCGGCGCCACATTGATTTGAGTTAAATATTAACCACTTTGAAGAGACTTGACAGGTACACCTGAACAGACATCTTTATAATCTGGCCATGCATGATCATAGAGATAACCATATGATTCTGGCTAAAAATTGCAACAGCAGTGGAAAAGGAGTAAAGTTTTCGTTAAATTTGGGAAAAACCTGAGGGATAAGTTTGTTAAAACAAAAAAAGAGGCCTTGCAAAAGTGGAGACCCAGGTGGTTTAAATATTACAGTATATGTTTTTCATAAGTTTTACACTGTTGTGTATATTACAATTTTGAATTAAAAACAATTTACAAGTTACAAACTAAAATTAAGTAACAAATTATGTCTTTGATAACTGGAAAGGAATATTTGAACCTTTCAGTTTACGATATATTGATGCCCTAATTTCTAGGCTTTATTGATGATAATGGTCAGGAATGTAAGACCATTATTGCCTTTTTAGCCTATACTGTAAGTAGAGAACAGAAACTAGCCAGAAAGTAATGTGTGAATTGTTGAGTGGGCAAAATAAAAAACGTCAGTATTTTTAGTAAGTATACTCTTTTTGCTTTTATTCTTGCCATAATAAAAAAATATAATTGTAGAGCAACCCAAGTTCTGTTGCCATTAATATTTAACTTTAATAGGTAGAACTGTCCAATATATGAACAAATGAAGTGATGCATAAAAGTTTGATTTTAAAAATCTTGAATGGTTATAAAAATCTTTATAATCATTATAATAAATTATAAAAATAACAAAAAACTATTAGTTTAAAAAACTTAAATGATATTACTGACATGACCTAGTTCCGGAAACGTTCTACTTGTCTGTTTATCCGTCTGATTTTACTATCTGTTTCTTTTGCCCTCCCCCTGTCATTTAAAAGAATATCTTAATGGCAAACGCGTCAAGTATAAAAGCCTTGTCCGTTTTGTGAGGTGTGCGATGCGGCGCCAGGTGAAAATCAGCATTAATAAATAAATCAGCATTAAGATGCTTCTTTGTTTGTTTTTCCTGTACTGTTCAATTTGAATACATTTATTTTACCAATAATTTTGTGACTTTTCATTTTCTCTTTGTGTATGCGTGTCTTTGATATTGTGATATAGGTCTTAAATTTAATACTTAATGGTCTTAAAAAGGTCTTCAAAAAATTGACATTATATCTGCAGAAACCCTGAATTATGAACAGCAGTGATATGTTTTCTAGGTTACCACTTTAAACAGAGCAGCACTGCACTTATTCTGGGTTCACACCAAAAGTGAAGTTTAGTATTCGCATGAGTAGATGCTTACAAAGTCACTGAAAAACATGCAAATATAGGAATATGTCCACTGGGCAACAATGCAGTGGAATGGGCGTTGTGTTTTCTTAGAGCGTGTGGAATTCCCTTGTGGTGCGTCTTTTGCGCAATTTCATTTAATTGAACTCGAACAAAAAAAATTGCTTTTGTAACAAACATTCCGCGAGTAAACTAAATTGAGTGATACGGTGCTCTGTGTTTAGAGTGAACCCAGAAATATGAACATTAATATGTATCGTTCAGAGAAAAGATGAACCGCCACATAATTTAGAGACAGTTCCTCTCATATATTTATTCTTATAAACTCCTACTCCAATTATATCATCATTTGTTTGGCGTGTCAACAGATTTGAATCATCACAAATTTTAAGCGATTAATCAACTTTTGTGGCTCATCGTTACATCCCTACTCATTTACCATCAGCTTTTTTTTTTTTTTTTTACTTTTTTGTAAATTTTTTTTTTTTTTTGGCCAATTTACTTAAAAATTACTATTTGGTTTGTTTAATTTTTATGTATCTTTTCACTTGGAAACTGCACCACTCAACGATCCAAACGCAGTGCTGAGTTTTTAACGTCAAACGTCGAGTTGTTTGAATGCAATAACATATGAGGCCATTTGAAGCCTGTTTATTTCCATGTAATTACCCAGTAAAATCAGCAAGCATGTCGTATTGGCATTTGCTCTTATTATCGTAAAAGAATCGGAGGCTAAATCAATTCTGATGTTTATTGGCTGTAGGGGGAAAGCGCTTCTAAAGATGACGACGTGTTTTACGACCCTAATGATGAGTGGGAACCAGACCTATCGGCCTCTTCCTCAACCTCGTCTTTCTCTCGAAGAAGGTATTTCCATGTGTTTGTATTTTCATAAATGGTTCATGATTCAGATCTTTGTGTTTCCTTGTTGAGGAATGAGCGAACAGAAGCAGACATTGTGCTCAGTGCTGGTTCTTGTCTTCCACTGTGATGCTATTTTTCCCCTTATAAACCACGCTCTATGGAAAAGCATGTTCCTAAAGTCTTTTTACCGTTTTATTGCCTACATGAGCATGTGACTCAAGCCAAATTCAATATTGATTTATCAAAAATGGTTCTACACCACATAAGACGAGCAACTACTGGCAAAAATGCATTAAAAAATTGTATTCAATTCATCTATAGTTCTATAGCGCTTTTACAATGTAGATTGTGTCAAAGCAGCTTAGCAAAGAAGTTCTAGTGAACTGAAATAGTGTCAGTCCAGTTTTTAGAGTTGAAGTTCAGTTTAGTTCAGTTCAGTGTGGTTTAACTTTCACTACTGAAAGTCCAAGAACTAAAGAGCAAATCTATTGATGTGCATCTCCACAAGCCCAAAACTTGTGAACAAGTGAAGGAAAAATAACCTTGAGAGAAACCTGGCTCTTTTGCACACGGCCATTTCTCCTTTGGCCAAACTTCTTGTGCAGAGATACAATCCAGGCACCAGAGGCTGGAGAACACTGGACGTAACTTTGAATGATTTTTGTTGTATTTTCTGAATTATGGAGTGTGATTTTTAAAAATAGTTTCCCAGACTTGAAAGTACAGTAAATGTTCATAACTTCGAAGTGTATATCTTGAAACCAGGTAAAGAAGAATTAAATTTTCTTTGTTATTAGTGATAGCTCAGAATGTAATTTTCCATATCTAGATCTTTATTTTTCTGTTTTTATTTTTTTGTTGCTCAGGAGTAGAAGTTTGCTAAAGAGCAGAAGAATTTCTGGGCGTCTCTATGAGATCCGCGTTCACCCCATTCAAAGTCTACACTGCACTCCCTCACAGTCCACTGGTAAAGTATTTTTGTGGTCTGTATGTGTGTAATCTATTAAATTAATAGCATTGAATGAATAATTCTCTCCAAAATAACACTTCTGTCATCCTTTCTCAACCTCATTGTATTGTATAAAGCTAATTTTTTTCAGAATAGGTTTTTCAAGAATGTTTTTTTTTTATTATTCTTTATGGTGAATGTCAATGGGGAGCAAATAGAAATGAACAAGCTTGTGCATATTATCGAAATTTACAATGTTTTTTTTTGCTAGTGCACATTGGTAATTTAAAGATGAACAATTATTCGGTTAATCCACAGAAAAATGGGTTTGTTTTGGTAATCTTTAATGAAAATCTGACAATTTGCTTCTGCTCTGGAACAGCAGTCCTTCTCTGATGATGTCAGTTTTACAGCTTGGGCAAGATATATTCAGAAACGCCCCTCCAACCATTAACAAAATAAAATTTTAAACATTCTTTAGAATGCCAAAAATTTCCACTTTAGTTGGTCAGTCAATACAAATATGCATGCACAAATGTTTCCTTGGTTTTTGTTTAGTTGATTCAAGTCCCCATCATTCATTCATTTACTTTTCGGCTTAGTCCCTTTATTAATCCGGGGTTGCTACAGTGGAATGAACCACCAACTTATCCAGCACATGTTTTACGCAGCAGATGCCTTTCCACCTGCAACCCATCTCTGGGAAAAATCCATACACTACGGACAATTTAGCTTACCCAATTCACCTGTACCACATGTCTTTGGACTGTGGGGAAAACCGGAGCACTTGGAGAAAACCCATATGAACGCGTGGGGAATATGCAAACTCCACTGACACAGCCGAGGCTCAAACCAGCGACCTTCTTGCTGTGAGGCAACAGTACAACATACTGTGCCACCACGTCACCCTCAAATCTTCATTACAATATTATTATTTATTTGCTTGTCAGTTGAAGGATTTTTCAAAATCATGTTCCCCTTCACATCTTTCGCAGCCTCCAGAATATATTATTGTTTGTATACATGGATAATCCATGATTATTTACAAAGAGAAGAATTCCAGCATCATTCTTTCTTTTTTGTAACCACTTTATTTCATCAGTTCCTTTAAAAAATGAACAAAAATATGAAGTTCTGTCAGAGCAATTATCATAATATGAGTTCCCTATCCTTTTATTAGGTCTGATGAACAAGCCACCCTCTCTGCACTCCAGCACCTCTGACTCCGCCCTCCCAGGCATTTGCAAAGATCTGATTGGCTCTGCTGTTGCTCGTCTGCGCTCCTGCCAATCAGCTGACGAGAGTGAAAGCTTGGCCGACAAACTGACCCTAGACCTGCTGTCAGTTCACAGAGCTGTGAGGGCCATCACAGACCTCTATGAGGACCTAGATGACGACAGTGAGGAGAACTGTAAGTGTCCGGCCATTTTTAAAGCCCCACCAAAATCAGAAAGAAAGTATTTATTTATTTACAAATTACCATGTTTGTAAACACTCAGGATGTGCACGCAGTGAGGTGGCAGAAAAAAAAAAACAGGAGCGCTAGCATTTACATCGAGGGAATGACATCCGATGCGGTACAGAGTTTGTCGTTGTCTTGGAAATTATATTAAGTACATATTATGTACTGTATATTATAACAGCTTGTCACTCACTGATAAACACAGTTAATCTGCCAATTTAACATTAAAGTGAGTGACGTTCATCTGACAGGTCCATTTGCGATAGCATCCTCCCAATGGATAATGGATAAGACCAAATGGCAAAGCATCCAGGCCCAAGTATACAATCGCATTGAAGCTCTAAGTGTTTTAATAAGAGAGAAGTTAAAGGCCTACAAGTCTTTGGATGCCAACAATTTTGTTCTGTGTGCTCACATGCAAGAATTAATGTTCCATGATTACCAGATTCAAAACTTTGTAGTGCTAAAAACCGAGGTTCTGCCTAGCCAAAGACAAGGAAAGAAGACAGAACTGTACAAGGCCTGGGTAATCATCAACAAGCAAAACTACTGCATTCTGACAGTGAACAGCTGTACACCTGTATAGCAGGGTTTGTGAGCTTACACATAGAGGTAAAGTTGGTTTTATATTCGCACATTTGAACTTTCTCCTTAATAATATAATTTCATTAAAGTATTATTTGCAAACTCTAAATAGCGAAATCATATTAGCAGCCAATGTCTATCAAACTACAACATTGTTCACAGTCAAATAAACAGTGTTGATGTTGTTTGCAATTCACACTTGCATGTTAATTCAGATTGAATATTCAAAGTGTCATGGTAAACAATATAGGAAGTGTGTCACAAGTTGTCACTCAATGAATGTGTGAATATAACCAACATTACCTTAATAACATACACTTTCACGTTTGATTTTGAGCATTCAGTTTCCGCAGTTTAGTTCACCATGTTTAACTGTTTTTTTTTTTTTATGAAATCATTGCTGCAATCAAAAACGAGTAACGTGTATGATTCAGCATAGCGTGAACTTGCCTGATATAACATGAGAACTGCAGAGTCCTGCATTTTTATTTAGGTCGTCACTTCATTCAGCTCCCTTTTAACCAAAGAAGTCTGCGGTTGTTGGCATTAAAAGCAGTGTGGTGTACGGTAAAAGTTAAGTTTTCTGTTTTTGGACTTAATTTGGCATCCTACTGCACAACACGACATGTTTGCTATTGCAACCGGTCTCTTTTTGCAACCGGGAACCCGTGTGACGTAGGTTGGTAATTCGTCTATATAATAGTCTAAAGGTTACCTAAAATCTAATATACTACAAAACAATGACATATTTTGCTTTTAGAAGATATATGCATTCAAAAGTTTATGTCTCACTTTCCGTCAATGAGAATCAACAATTTTACTCAGATTTTCCTCTGACCAATCAAATGCTCTCTAATATTAGATTAGCCCCACCCACTACAAGATGCAGATGAAGTTGGTAACTTTGAGGTTGTAAGTGGACGGTCATACAGATGGTTTGTGTAAACATTTGTATATATCAGAAAATTATCAATGGTAGTGAAACGGTGTTAAGCCCAGTTTTTACTTTGAGTGATCATCACCATACCTCATGACTAGGCCCACACGGAAACTGCGAGGGCAGATTTCTGCAGATTTTAGCCCATCATTGATTTTGTTTATTTAGTTGTAATGTGTAAATTTATATTTATTCAGTTTTTCAATGAATTTCAGTAATATTATTGACTAATATGAAATTGTTCATATGATTTATTTACAATAAAGTTTTTTAGTTGAGATATTCTATGAATCACTTGCTTTGTTTACCGAATACAGTGGATCTTATTGGATTTGCATTGTAAAGATTTAATAAAAGTTAAAAAGGTATTATTATTTTATTTTATATATATTACATATTTTGTTTATGATCTCCAAAAACCATCACCGCATAAATCAGCTGATTTTTCAAGTTCTGCACAGAAATAGCAAAAAATGTTTGCAGATTTTGTCTGGCCCTACTTGTGATGCTTTTCCAGCATGTTGACAATGCCATTTTGAGCATTTATACTTCTATTTTTTGTTTTTGTTACTCTGGGAATCACTCTTTTGAAACGCTAACAGTCAGTGGGGTTTATATGTTCCATTCTGTCATGTTTACTACACTGGAAATGCGTGGAGGGCTGCTCATTCAGAGAGGAAAATAGCTGGAACCGCCAAATGTTTCAAGTTTCCATGAAGTGGTTTGAAGTGTGGATTTTTGTTAGATGTCTAATGTAATTTGAACTGATACACATAGACAGGGCAGGAAATAGAGGGAGCGCCTCCCCTCTTTTAAAAAGCAGCCAATAACGTTTAATCTTTATCACAGCTCTGCTAGTAAGTGTGGTTGAGCTCAAGTGCATATAGCAATAGCTACTAAAAGGGGAGGGCTTTAAGAATGGGCGGAGCTATCTGATATGCCCCACCCTCTTTCATGTTAAGTTAAAATTACTTCACACTTCGAACAAAGCTGTGCATTTCAAAGGGAATTTAACAAAGCTAAATCAACAGAGTCATTCATCATTGTCAGTATTCAACTCAGAGAGGCTTATTTGGTTGTATGTGTGTTTGCGAGCAGTGTTTGCCTGCAGTACTGAAGCCCAGACTCATCTAGTGAAGGCCACGTCAGCTGTTGAAAGGGCCGTGTTCATTACGATGCACTGGGTCTCCAGCATTACATTCGGCTCTATTACTGTGTCTCAGAGAGCCGAGGAGCTCAAGATGGAGGTCAAGAAAATCGGAGGATACCTGCAGTTACTCATTCAGGTGCTTGTTAATGGTTTATAGAAAGTATAAAAGATCGATTTATGTTGCTTACTTATCGCTTTAGTGTTGATGGGGTACCAGAGGAAAATACATGTTCATCATATTTGTATTTATTCGTATAGAAGTCATATTATTAGAAAATGTCAGAATATATGAAATAAAATTCAAAAGTTTAATTATTTATTTAATCATTTATTATAGTAAAACAATATCATCATTACAATCATCATCCCACATCTAGTAGTTGAAATTGCTTCATTTAATTGTATACATTTAAATTTGTGTAAAGTACTTTTAAATTAAATTATTGTTTATTATTGTTGTGTGTTTGCGAACAAGCATTTTTGTAATTTTAATTTTTCTTCTTGATTTTAACTTTATAAATTTGAATATTTAATTTTTAAATATTTAATATATCAAATATATTATTTTATATATATATATATATATATATATATATATATATATATATATATATATATATATATATATATGTAATTTTTTTTATAATATTTTTTTAATAATAAAATTTATGTTTAAATACAAATATTTAATACACATGCAATATTTAATGTTTAAATGTGTGTGCATGTATAAGTATTTTTGTAATAAAATATTTAATTAATTGCATTATTGTTATTATTTGTTTATTATTATTTGTTTATTATTATTGTGTATTTGCTAATAAACATATTTGTGATTTAATGTTATTATATAATTTTAAATATTTAATATATAAAAATGTATTATTTTAGAAAAAAGTACTACTGTTAATATTTAAATGTAAATGATTTAAAATAAATTGAAAAGATTAAAAGATTTAAAATAAATTTTATATTTCAGTGTTTAAATTTCTGTATATATTTATTTAATAAATATATTTTTTAATTTTATTAATTATTATTTTTATTTCAATGTTCTGATAGTTCATAATAAGTAAATTTGATTATTAACTGCCCTCTTAGTCTCCTCCTACACATATGCATGTATCTAGCATATAATGTGTTTATAAATTCACTTAGAAATATGTCAGTGTCAGCACTAGAGTTGTAATTAAAATGCTGGTGCTGGTCTTTCTGTGTGTTGGTTTTTCAGGGCTGTGACTCTGAAATCTCCTCCATGGTGACAGAGGCCCGGAAGAGGGTTGCCGAATGTATGAATGCAGTTTTTAAAACCATCGGTTTTCTGGCTGCAGTGAACGGCACTGATCTTCATTTGAATGAACAAAATTCAGAAATCATAGACAATGTTGGTGTTTTCTGCAGTCTGACCAATCATTATATAAATTTCAAGGATGTAGTAGGAAGTAGCATAACACTGTTCTTGTGTTTGTCTTCTCTGTAGAGATCAATTGTGGATTGCTTGCAGGATGGGATGCGACAAAGTGTGAAAGATCTTCTCTCTGTTGGTCTGCTGGTCACTGAGGAGATGCTTCAAGTTTCTCACACGGGATCAACGGTAATTGTTGTAAAAAAATATTTGGGGAATTTATCAAAATCTCAGGAAATACGCTTAAAGTACCAGCAAGTACATACCAAACTCTTCTGTCCTCTTTCTCAGCTGAGGTTACTTCTGCAAAGCAGACATATTTCCGTCTGAAAATCAACAATGCCACTAATCCTCGCCTACTTTTTAAAACATTTTCCTCCCTCCTCTATCCTCCTCCTCCACCTGCATCCTCCACACTTACTACTGATGACTTTGCTACATTCTTTTGCACCAAAACTGCAAAAATCAGTGCTCAATTTGCTGCACCTACAACAAACACGCAAGATACAACACCAACACCACACACACTCACCTCTTTTTCTCAGCTCTCTGAGTCTGAGGTGTCCAAACTTGTGCTATCTAGCCATGCAACCACCTGTCCACTCGATCCCATTCCCTCTCATTTCTTGCAAGCCATCTCTCTTGCAGTCATACCAACACTGACTCACATAATCAACACATCTCTTGACTCTGGTTTATTCCCCACTTCATTTAAGCAGGCTAGGGTAACCCCACTGCTAAAGAAACCCAACCTGGACCATACGCTACTTGAAAACTACAGACCAGTATCCCTGCTTCCATTCATGGCCAAGATTCTGGAGAAAGTAGTGTTCAATCAAGTCCTAGACTTTCTTACTCAAAACAATCTCATGGACAACAAGCAATCCGGCTTTAAGAAAGGCCACTCAACTGAGACTGCCCTGCTCTCGGTCGTGGAGGATCTCAGACTGGCTAAAGCAGACTCTAAATCATCAGTCCTCATTTTGCTGGACTTGTTAGCTGCTTTTGACACTGTCAACCACCAGATCCTGCTATCTACGCTCGAGTCACTGGGCGTTGCGGGCACTGTTATACAATGGTTCAGATCTTGCCTCTCTGACAGGTCATTCAGGGTGTCTTGGAGGGGAGAGGTGTCCAACCTACAGCATCTAAACACTGGGGTACCTCAAGGCTCTGTTCTTGGGCCACTTCTCTTCTCCATCTACACATCATCTCTAGGACCAGTCATCCAGAGACATGGATTCTCCTACCACTGCTATGCTGATGATACCCAGCTATACCTCTCTTTTCATCCTGATGATCCCTCGGTTCCAGCTTGCATCTCAGCCTGCCTGTTGGATATTTCACACTGGATGAAAGATCATCATCTTCAGCTTAACCTCACAAAAACGGAAATGCTTGTAGTTTCTGCCAACTCGACTCTACACCATAACTTTTCAATCCAGATGGATGGGGCAACCATTACTGCATCCAAAATGGTGAAAAGCCTTGGAGTAAGATTGATGACCAACTAAACTTCTCTGACCACATTTCTAGAACTGCTCGATCGTGCAGATTCATACTCTATAACATCAGAAAGATCCGACCCTTCTTATCTGAACATGCAGCTCAACTCCTTGTTCAAGCTCTTGTTCTCTCCAAACTGGATTACTGCAACTCTCTACTAGCTGGGCTTCCAGCTAACTCTGTCAAGCCTCTTCAACTGCTCCAGAACGCAGCAGCACGAGTGGTCTTAAATGAACCTAAATGAGCACATGTCACTCCGCTGCTAGTCCGTTTGCACTGGCTGCCAGTTGCTGCTCGCATCAAATTCAAAGCTCTGATGTTTGCCTACTAAGTGACTTCTGGCCTTGCTCCTTATCTGCTCTCACTACTGCAGATCTATGTGCCCTCCAGAAACTTGCGTTCTGTGAATGAACGTCGCCTCGTGGTTCCATCCCAAAGAGGGAAGAAATCACTTTCGCGAACGCTCACGCTCAATCTGCCCAGTTGGTGGAATGAACTCCCTAACTGCATCAGAACAGCAGAGTCACTCGCTATTTTTAAGAAACGACTAAAAACTCAACTATTTAGTCTCCACTTCACTTCCTAAATCTGCAATTGCCTCTCTGAATATCACACTAACTGTACCCAAAAAAAAAAAAAAAAAAATACTAATACTTCCCTTCTTAGACTTTACAGACCTGAAACTTGCCTATAGCACTTATTCATTGTTGCTCTTAGTTGTGTAAATTGCTTCCTTGTCCTCATTTGTAAGTCGCTTTGGATAAAAGCGTCTGCTAAATGTAAATGTAAAGTAGCCTTTGTCGTCCATTCAAGGTAAAACAATCTTATACATTTATTCATAATATACACTGCAGCATCACCTGTCGCCTTGCGGCTTGTGTTCTGCAAACCCGGGTTGTTAATGAATGTGAACTACTGCACAGGGTTGTAACTACTATTGTAAACTGAAAGAAATTACAATGTTCAAATATACCGTGCATCTGGAAAGTATTCATAGCACTACACTTTTTCCACATTTTTTTTATGTTACAGCCTTATTTCAAAATGGATTAAATTAATTTATGTCCTCAAAATTTTACACACAATACCCCATAATGACAATGTGGAAAAAGATTTTTTGAAATTGTTGCAAATTTATTAAAAATAAAAAACATGGAAAATCACATGTACATCAGTATTCACAGCCTTTGCCATGAAGCTCTAAATTGAGCTCAGGTACATTCTGTTTCCACTGATCATTCTTGAGATGTTTCAGCAGCTTTATTAGAGTTCACCTATGGTAAATTCAGTTGATTGAACATGATTTGAAAAGGCATAGACCTGTCTAAATAAGGTCCCAGGGTTGACAGTGCATGTCAAAGCACAAACCAAGCATGAAGACAAAGGAATTGTCTGTAGACCTCCGAGACAGGATTGTCTGGAGGCACAAGGCCTGGAAAGTTATAGAAAACTTTCTGCTGTTCTGAAAGTTCCATTGAGCCCAGTGGCCATCATCATCCGTAAGTGGAAGATGTTTGGAACCACCAGGACTCTTCCTAGAGCTGGCCGGCTATCTAAGCTGAGTGATTGGAGGAGAAAGGTCTTAGTCAGGGAGGTGATCAATAACATGATGGTCACTTTGTCTGAGCTCCAGTGTTCTTCTGTAGAGAGAGGAGAACAGAACTTACAGAAGAAAAACAATCTCTGCTGCAAATCATCAATCAGGCCTGTATGGTAAAGTGGCCAGAAAGAAGCCACTCTCTACCTGGAATTTGCTAAAAGGCATCTGAAGGACTCTCAGATCTTAAGAAACTAAATTCTCTGGTTTGATGAGATTAAAGTTGAACTTTTTGGAGTGAATGCCAGGCACCGCTCATCACCAGGCTAATACCATCTCTACAGTGAAGCATGGTGGTGGCAGCATTATGTTGTGGGGATGTTTTTCAGCAGCAGGATGTGGAAGACTAGTCAGGATAGAGGGAAAGATGAATGCAGCAATGTAGAGACATCTTCAATGATAACCTGCTTCAGAGTGCTCCTGACCTCAGACTGAGCCGACGGTTCATCTTCCAGCTGGACAATGACCCAAAACACCACCAAAATATCAATCGAGTGGCTTCACAACAACTATGTCCTTAAGTGGCCCAGTCAGAGCCCAGACCTAGATCTTATTGAACATCTTTGGTGAGTTCTGAAAATGACTGTACACCGTCGCTTCACATCCAACCTGATAGAGCTTGGGAGGTACTGCAAAGAGGAAAGGGAAATTTCTAAAGACAGGTGTGCCAAGCTTGTGGCATGATATTCAAAAAGACTTGGCTGTAATTGCTGGCAATGGTGCATCAACAAAGTAGTGAGCAAAGAATGTGAATATCTCCGTACATGTGAGTTTTTAGGTATTTTATTTTTTATAAATTTGCAACAATTTCAAAAAAATCTTTTTTTCACTTTGTCATTATGGGCTATGGATACTTTCTGGATGTACTGTAGTTCATTTACTGTGGTTAAATTATAAGCTCTCTTGTGATTTTTTATTTTTTTAAAACAAATTCAAAGGCTAATAATTTTGCTTTCAACTGTACATAGTTTTATTTTCTTGTGGTAAACAAACAAAAAGACTGTAGACTTTTTTTGTAATGAAAAGAACAGTTGGATTCCCACCCTGTAATTTAAGGTGGTGATGCAACAGTATACTACAGCATGTGTTTGCATTATTTTACAATAATTCAATGTGCTGGAATCAACTATTTTACCAATACCATGGGTGCCTTTAGATTTATTTGATTTGATTTTCGACAATTGTAGGTTGTGAAATTATCATTCTGTTTGAATGAATTATCATTCAAGTCATTCTGTGTAGTGATATAGAACTGTAATTTGGTCAAGACCTGTCTAGAACTACTTTAGCAGTGGATTTATCTTTATTTTAATTGATATTGATGTACACTTCAGCATAGTTGTATAAGTTGTCATGTTTTTGTTTTTCAGCTTCAGATTTCTAAATGGATGGATGTGGCCCGCTCTCTCCAGAACTACCTTCGCTGCTGTTTGTCGGTGCGTCTCACAAACAGCTGTTGTTGTCATTGAGGTTAACACGTTTGGATTAATGACCGAGTGGGACGCCGCTTGTAAAACGTCAAACCAAAGCGCTCTTATCGCATGTCTTGGGTCGTTTCGTTGTTTAGAAAATAAATAGATTGAGTGGAGTGTCGTCTGTCACCTTAATGTGGCTGTAACTGTTATCTTCAATACACAAACTACAGGCTCACTGTTATTGTTCTGCTAGAGAATGGGATGCTGGGATAAGGAGAAATGAATGTGTCCCACATACTCGCTCATTTTTTCAAACCTACAGACCTAAACTGTTTGGGTAAAAGCAAATAAGAAACCCACATATATTGGGGAGTTTGTTTATGTTGTTTTTACATATGATATGCTATATTACAATTATAATATATAATATTTGTAGGTTTGATGTAGTTTTGTTTTTTATTTGTTTTCGTTTTATTTGTTATTTTAGAGGTTGTTTGATTTGGAGGGTTTTTTGTGTTTTTTATTGAAGATTGGGGAGTTAAAGTTGTGTGTTTATTATTTTATATATATATATATTTTTACTTATTTATATTTGTTAAGTTTAGGGGCAGCTTTTTTGGTTGGGTGAAATTTGGTGTGTTATTGATTATCATTTAGTTTAGTATAATAATCTCTTGGCTGTAGAAGTGGGTGGTGTTTTTTTTTTTTTTTTTTTTTTTTTAGTTTAAAGTGTGTATGCTTATATTTACGTATGTAAATATGTTTGTGAGTGTCAGTTTATTTATTTATTTATTGTTCAACTGTTTTAGTATGGTTTTTGTGTTGTGAACTTTCCCTCTAAGAGATGTTCTACATCTTCTCTTTCACAGAAGAGCTCAGACTCCTCTGAGAATCATTGTGTAGATTATGAAAGCTCAAACTTGTATGACATTCAAAGCACCACTACCAAACTCCTCAAGCTGAACCAGGCTATCAAAGATCTGCATTCGTCTCTGTCTCGGTTTCTGAAGGGTAAAGTATTTTACATTGCCGTATTCATACACCAAACCCTTCACAGTTACAGCAAATATGACATTAGTTCACTTTATTGATGTACATTACAGGTAGGAGAAGCGACACTTCCCTCAGTGAAGCGATACAGTCTTCATCCCAGACGATTGATAAAATCATCAGCAGCCTTCCTCATGAAATAACAGGACGTTCAGATGGTCTTCAGCTTCAGGATGACGTTCAATCAGCGCTCCAGGCTTTGCTAGCAGTGTTTTCTAACAGCACCGATGAAATTCAGAAGCCGACCACAGACAGACACTTTGTTCAATCAGGTTACAGCAGCAGAAATCGAACCGTCCCTAAAGTTGTGTATTCTCTTTCCTCAGGCATTAGCACATGCTCCAGAGACGCCCGATGGGTGTGATTTAGTTAAGTATATAATGATTTTTGGCATAACTGCAAAATTGTTATGTATATTCTGTTGTTTACTGCACTCATACTGGTCTACCATTGTTTGCCTACAAATTTTGTCTGATTTCTTTGATGGATTTTAATGAAGGGCTTAATGGTACAGCTTATGAAAAGAGGTTTCTGTGTATTTTGTATTATCAAGCATTATCAAAGCATTATAAAAGCTAAATGAGAAAACACTTCACTTTCTGGATATATTTTGCACTTGAAACTTTTGCACAGGCTTTGTCACAGCTGTTTTTCTACACATGGAGATGTGAGTTTTAGCATTTGTAGCAGCATGTACTCTGGATCATGTAATTGTTTGATAATAATTTATACTTTCAGTAATAAACACTCACTTGGAACGAGGTCTGGTGTCTTGATTAAACTTACTACATTTCTTTACCATCCTTAAAGTAACTAGAGGTTTCTTAAGCGACTTAAGATTGTAAATATGGTTGGTTCTTAAATCACTATAAGGCTTGGCTTCTTATCTGTCAGACCTGTTGACTGATCATCAGCCTGGTCAAACCAGAGATTACATTCTAAAAACGTTGAGTAATTTATTTAACCCAATGGATGAATTAAAAATATTTGCTGCTTTGTTGGGTTATTTTTTAACCTTTATTGGGGTATTTATTAATAACAAATTGGGTTAAATATTTGGTGCTTTGTTGTGTTATTTTTTAACCTTTATTTAGTTATTAATTTAGTTACTCAACCAGTTGGGTTAAACAGATTTAACTGATACAGAACAGCTGTATTAATATGCATACGTTATGTTGTTTTTGCATTTTAAAGTTTATTTAAGCTCTTAACCCAATAAGTTATTTTTTTTTAGCAAATTATCTCTCCGTGTCGTGTAGTGTTTTTTTTTTTAAATATATATCTGTTTCACCAGCACTCTTATTATTGATGATACAACTGTGCAATTCATAGCCAATCTATATTAAATCATCTACAGTTTTTTTTATTAGAAGCTTTTGAATGTGGTTTAAATGTATTTGTACTTAGTGGACACTGAGTGAAGCCTGCTGCAGCTGCTGGACAGTCTCTACAGCACACAGAACTCTATATTCTGCTCCATCAGCACATGATTTTCTGCTTGCAGTTGCTGTCTGTACTTTGTTCTGTTTTTTCATTGCTTGTGATTTTTGAGTTTAACAAAGTGTCTGGAACTTAAAATGTAACGGAAATAAAGCATTTTCAATATTTTTTAAATTATGTTATTTATTTACAAAGCCATAATTATGACGTTAATATAGCCCTAGTTAGTAATGGTAGCAATAGTAATACCAGAATGAAAAAAATAACATTTAATGAAAATACCAAAATGCATTGGGTTAAAAAAAACCCATAGAAGGTGCTATAATAACCTATAATTGGGTTATATCTTGGGGTATTTTTAACCCAACTATTTTAACTTGAAATCCCTAAGCTGAGGCTGAGATGCAGGGGTGACCATAATTTCGCAGCAGCGCCTACATTTTGCAATGCTCTGCCCCTCTGTATCAGATCTATAACATCTCTGTCTGTTTTTAAACTAGGTTGAAAACTTGCCTTATTGACTTGGCATTTTATCAATGAGAATTGTTTGTTTTAGCTATAATTTTATATCCTTTTTGTGATATTATGCAGCATATTGGTCAAACTTTGGTTGTGTTTAATAGTGCTAAATAAAACTGATATTGATAAACATAGATTTAAATTTAAAAGTTACTTAACCCAACACTTTATTTATTTAGATTATTACTATTTTTTTTGGTTGCAGCAGAAATGTGAATATTTGCTCGTTATAAAGTAACAGGATTTTTTTCCATTTCAAATAAGGTAATAATGTTGTATTTTACTCGAAGCGGCAACAAATGGCTTTATTTAAAATGACTGACATTTAATTAGTATTTCTTTATCTTAAAACTTATTTGGAAAACGTGTTAACACGTCTTTACTTTTATTTCTGTGCTATATTGGCAAATGAGGGGCAAATTGATTTATTTCCTCACACAACAAACCTATATGTTTGTAGAGTTCAAATGTAATGGTTTCTGGTATATAACTTGATAGCAAAATGTAGTTATTAGCATGTTTATGTCTCAGGAACAGAAAAGCAAAAGTTATTTGTATCATGGGGAGTGGCGGGAACTGCAGTCTCCTCAGAGCGGGGGCGCGCGCTCGTTCTAATGATCTCACACAGGAGTTTCTCGCATTCAACCGAAAGCGCCTGTAACGTTAAACCGTTTGTTATTAAACTTTTCTTTTCGAGTTAAAACATTGCGTTTATGACATACGACTTAAGCTTTACGTCATATCAGGTAATGGACGATTTTATTCTTATTTAAAGCTTTAAGATGCTTATTCATCTTTATTTGATGTTTTTGCACCACGTTAATTTTTTTTCGTTTAAAGCTGTCGAAGTATTTCCTTTGGTACATGCCAGTGTCACTGTTTATGAATGTTGTCTTTATTCCCCACAGCATGAATCTGTTGAAAATGATTTACAGCAACGTTATTGTAAGTAGGCTAACTTAGTTCTCGTCTTAACTAACAATGTTATCTGTTGGAAACATTTGGTTTCCCATGTTATGAATACTAAATTAAAAATTCCTAGTGTTTGTTTGTGCATAATGGCAAACCTTTTGTTTTCAAGCTTCTCATTCATCTCTGCTTGGAAAAAGGTAAGCGTTCATGTGAGCATACAACCATGTAAAACTAATTAGGCTGGCTTGAGAAACAAGCCAGACTACTGAAATCCTATTTAAACTTATTATTTTTTTTATATATTATTCTTCTTCTTCTGAGACTAAAATTCAAAATCTATCTCCTCCTAGAGCTTTCGAGCTATGACCACCAAACTCACACCAGACATCCAAACTATTCTGACTCGGTATGCCATATCTTTTCCGACTGATCCGACTTTCGATTTTCCGAAAAACGTCCCGGGACCGTCGGAAAAATCCCATAGACTTAACATTGGACCAAACTTTGTGACCTCATAACTCTGCATCAGACTGTCATACAGACTTCTAACTGGGCTCATTTAACTCAGACTATCAAACTGCCAATGACTGATCACCTTTAAACTTTCTGGCCACGCCCTAGCAACCACTTTTGGACCCTAGAAACCGTCCCATAGACTTCCATTGCAAAAGACTCTCATTGACTTTACATGGGATCAAACTTTGTGAGCTCATAACTCTGCATCAGACTGTCCTACAGACTAATGATTGAGCTCATTTAACTCAGTCTAGCCAGCAGCCAATCACTGATGGCCTTTTAACTTTCTAGCCACACCCTAACAACCAGATACTGCACCATAGCAACTGTCCCATAGACTGCCATTAAAGAGGTTCAGACTGATATTGTCATGCTGCAGTGTGATAGAGACATGGGGGTTGTGTTTAACTGTTCATACTGGCAAGAAGCTTTGATACATCATCAGTCTAAGCTGTCAATCAACTCCATAGCAACAAAACAGAGTAACCTAGCAACGATATAAAAGCAGCTATATCTCAGCATCAGAACATCGTAGAGAGGCGGGGGTTGGCTTGTTTGACTCATGCTCGCACACCATCTATCTATCTATCTATCTATCTATCTATCTATCTATCTATCTATCTATCTATCTATCTATCTATCTATCTATCTATCTATCTATCTATCTATCTATCTATCTATCTATCTATCTGTCTGTCTGTCTACCTCTATCTATCTATCTATCTATCTATCTATCTATCTATCTACCTCTACCTATCTATCTATCTATCTATCTATCTATCTATCTATCTATCTATCTATCTATCTATCTATCTATCTATCTATCTATCTATCATGCTAACAACATGCTAATTCATGCTAGAATCATGCTAGTTACATGCTAATTCATGCTAGAATCATGCTAGTAACATGCTAATTCATGCTAGAATCATGCTAGTCACATGCTAATTCATGCTAGAATCATGCTAAGAACATGCTAATTCATGCTAGAATCATGCTAATTTATGCTAAAATCATGCTAGTAACATGCTAATCCATGCTAGAATCATGCTAACAACATGCTAATTCATGCTAGATTCATGCTAGTAACATGCTAATTCATGCTAGAATCATGCTAGTATCATGCTAATTCATGCTAGCATTGTGCTAACAACATGCTAATTCATGCTAGAATCATGCTAGTAACATGCTAATTCATGCTAGAATCATGCTAACAACATGCTAATTCATGCTAGAATCATGCTAAAAACATGCTAATTCATGCTATAATCATGCTAACAACATGCTAATTCATGCTAGAATCATGCTAGTAACATGTTAATTCATGCTAGAATCATGCTAACAACATGCTAATTCATGCTAGAATCATGCTAACAACATGCTAATTCATGCTAGAATCATGCTAGTGAAATGCTAATTCATGCTAGAATCATGCTAGTTACATGCTAAATCATGCTAGAATCATGCTAGTCACGTGCTAATTCATGCTAGAATCATGCTAGTCACATGCTAATTCATGCTAGAATCATGCTAACAACATGCTAATTCATGCTAGAATCATGCTAATTTATGCTAAAATCATGCTAGTAACATGCTAATCCATGCTAGAATCATGCTAACAACATGCTAATTCAAGCTAGATTCATGCTAGTAACATGCTAATTCATGCTAGAATCATGCTAGTATCATGCTAATTCATGCTAGCATTGTGCTAACAACATGCTAATTCATGCTAGAATCATGCTAGTAACATGCTAATTCATGCTAGAATCATGCTAACAACATGCTAATTCATGCTAGAATCATGCTAACAACATGCTAAGTCATGCTAGATTCATGCTAACAACATGCTAATTCATGCTAGAATCATGCTAGTGAAATGCTAATTCATGCTAGAATCATGCTAACAACATGCTAATTCATGCTAGAATCATGCTAGTAACAAGCTAATTCATGTTAGAATCATGCTAACAACATGCTAATTCATGCTAGAATCATGCTAGTAACATGCTAATTCATGCTAGAACCATGCTTACAACATGCTAATTTATGCTAGAATCATGCTAGTAGCATGCTAATTCATGCTAGAATCTTGCTAGTAACATGCTAAATCATGCTAGAATCATGCTAACAACATGCTAATTCATGCTAGAATCATGCTAACAACATGCTAATTCATGCTAGAATTGTGCTAATTCATGCTAAAATCATGCTAGTAACATGCTAATTCATGCTAGAATCATGCTAGTAACATGCTAATTCATGCTAGAATCGTGCTAACAACATGTTTATTCATGTTAAAATCATGCTAACAACATGCTAATTATTGCTAAAATCATGCTAGTAACATGCTAATTCATGCTAAAATCATGCTAACAACATGCTAATTCATGCTAAAATCATGCTAGTAACATGCTAATTCATGCTACCATCATGCTAATAACATGCTATTTCACGTTAAAATCATGGTAATAACATGCTAATCTATCTATCTATCTATCTATCTATCTATCTATCTATCTATCTATCTATCTATCTATCTATCTATCTATCTATCTATCTATCTTTTCATACTTTTTAAAACTGTTTAAACTAAATAAACTATTACCGTCAGGCTTTCACAAGCCAGCCTCAAAGTTTGTTCTCAAACTTTAAGAATCTTTCCTGTTATATTTTACTGTTATTTAAATAGATAGTGTGAAAGAAACCACGTGTAACTAAAACAACCTAAAGGAGAGTTTGAAATCTCATGTACAGAATTACAACTTGGTTGCAGGTTGTTTTGCCAAATATATGAGTCTGTTTGTGTCTGTAAACAAAATACTCCTGTGTTTACAGTGGACAGCAAAACCTTGCTCTCATATGATGACTTTTACCCTGAGTATGTGCCAGATCGGCAGCCGTGGAACATTGCCCGTGAGGTCTGCCATCAGCGTTCAGGGACCCTGGCGAAGGTTTCCAACACTGAAGAAATGCAAAAACTTAACAATTTTCTACGGTCTATAAATATCGGCCAACCTGTATGGATAGAAAGTGCAGGCTTGTTCCAAAAAAGTGGTGAGCACCATATCTTACATTTTCCTGTGTACATCCAATGCTCTCTCACTGTAATTCAAAACATTTTGGTTAAGTGGCTAATTCGTATTAATTTATATCAGGGATCACCAAAGTTGTTCCTGGAGGTCCAGTGTCCTTCAAATTTTATCTCCAACCCTAATCAAACACACCTGAACAAGCTAATCAAGGTTTTACTTGGTATACTTGAGGCAAGTTGGAGCTAAACCCTGCAGGACACCGGACCTCCAGGAACGAGATTGGTGACCCCCAATTTATATAACCTCATTCATACATTTTAGCAAGATTTGCTCATATCCAAGTGAAGGGTAGGTTTCCATGAACTATATGAATATATTCTATGAATTCATACAAATTAGCCACCTTTCTGACCGTTTGTGAAAAAGTTACATTTCTTTGTGAGATCGGGTTGAAACTTCTCTATTATTGAATTTTTTTTCCTAAAATGTTTCTAGGTTCTCCAGACATATACATGCTGGAATTCCCTAAGCGGCCACACCGGAAATCAGCTCGCCTTCGCTATAAGTTCCCAAACATGGAAGCGCTTACAGTTTGCACTCACCTCCAGTTAGATCCAACTTGTCACGGGGTTTCCACAATCTTCTCATATGCCATAGAGCTATTTATTAAAGAATTTCAACTCCAAGCACAGATCGTGAGTAACGAACCCGTCCAGCTTGCATTGCTGGTGCATGGTTTGAACACCACCTACATAACCAGCTTTCCCAATGACGCCTCCTGGCACTTTGTATGTGCCAGTTGGGTTGGGAATAGCGGGGAGTGGGTCATCTGGGTGGATGGAAGAATGGTGGGTTCTGGGAATTTCCCCAACTCCACCAATCACATCGGAGGTGATGGCCTTTTTATGATTGGACAAGACCAGGAGACCTACGGAGGCTACAACAACAACAACAACACTCTTTGTGGAAACATTACGCAGCTTTTCATGTGGGATCGTTTGTTGCTCCAAACTGAAGTCCAAAGCATGGAAAAAACCTGTTCACCCGTTCCTTCTGGCTTGTTCTTCAGGTGGAATGAATCCGCACTAGAAATTGAAACCTCTCTACAGACACGTAGAGGGAACTCGCCATGTCAAGGTACAGTCAATGCAGGTGGTCTTGCACCTTCATGTAATAATTTCCACTCTTTCCCCAAAGATAATACTGCAAAACGTTATTGGTAATGGTTGTAAATATTTCATCCGTTCTGTAATACTGAGACCCACCCTTCAGAACATGCACTTGCCATCACATGAGTCATGAGTTTCTTACTCTTTTCTGAAGCGAGGACATATGGTCTTTACAGACTTGGAGAGCTTGAGAACTATGACTCATGTTGACATCTTAAAATTGGCAGACCAAATGCAAACTTGGCCCCAGACAGATGAATTTACACAAAAGGATTCATTTTCTGCTGAATGATTTTTTTGTCTGTGATTTGTTTAGGTTCCAGAAGTCAACCACCAAACCAAATTCTCATCTCTGGGTTGAATCAGAATTTTTCAAACAAGACTTGTGTAACCTTTGACCCTGTAAGTGGGAAACCGATTAATGACTCGTGTTGGACACACAGAGGAAGCGTCTGCCTGGTCCCCAAAGGTGATCACCTGATTTATGGCATTCTTCAAAAATTTTTAAAAAACAAGTCCTAACAAAACTGAACAACAGGTTTCTTCTGTATTGTGACTATTTCTGCAAATCAAACTTCTTATACAATCTGATATTTTGTCTCTTACACAGCAACACAATATTTGCCAGTACATCCAACATTTCTGTGATATGTTTCAGTACTGTATTAATAGATTTATCTATTTGAATATATTTGAAGGCTGTTATTAGAGATGCAACAATTCTAGATTTTGGTTGTTATAGTCTATGAAATAATCACAGTTTCATGCATGATTATTGTGCATTAGTTTCAGAACACTACTAGTTTAGAAAATGACTTGAAAACTCCTTATATTTTAAAGTGTTATTTATTGCTGCTCAGTAACTAAATAATACAGCACAAAATAATAAAAAGAAATCAAACAATGGTCCATTTCTCTTGGGATTAAACAAGATGATTAAACTTTTTAAAAAGAGACCGATTGGTCCATATTTAAACTTTTTGTACACTCAGGTTATGTTTTAATCTTTAATTGGTCTTATGCAGTCACATGATGTGACTTCGCAGGTCAGAGTTCACCAAGTTTGCAACTGCGAAACTTGTCGCATGAGCTTGTGTTTCCGGTCTGTTGCATGCGTGTGCATATGAATGGAAGTCTATTGTTATTACACAAGTGTACTATATAATGCTGTTCACAACCGACTGAACTGAGTCATTTTTCTGCTTGTTTATATTATCAAATTGGTTTTGTAATTTTCATAGATTGGTTACAGCACAAATTCAGAAGATTGTATCTCCATGCACAAATCACGAGTGAAAATCAAACATATGCAGTGATACAGAACATGTTTTTTCAACCCGGTTTATAAAAAACGCAATGCTTAAAGCAGTACATTTAGGCATGGGCAATATGGGTGATCGCCAGGGCAGCATTTTGCTAGGGGTGGCTCTTCACTTTTGTCTCTGAAACATTGCTTCATCCCTCATGAACATCGTGAGGGCGACACAATCCTCGTTTGCCTAGAGCACCAGTTAAGCTTGCGACAGTACTGGCTTAAAGTAAACAAAATTGAAGTAACAACTGATATTTTACATCCTGATAAATTGCGAAGCATTCGCATGAAGTTCCATACAACCATGCCATACATGGAACCAGACTAATATTGCTCCTCTCTCATAACTAACTAGGTAATTTTGATACAAGCTGTAAATCTTTGCTAAATATACCGGCTATTTTTAAGCTTCAAGAAAAAATTATAACATTATAACCATTTATCCATTTATTCATTCATTCTCTTTTCGGCTTAGTTATTTTAGTCATAAGGGGTCGCCACAGCGGAATGAACCGCCAACTTATCCAGCATATGTTTTACATAGCGGATGCTCTTCCAGCTGCAACCCAACGTTGGGTAACAACCATACACCCTTGCATTCACACACATACACTGAGGCCAATTTAGCTTATTCAATTCACACATACCACATATTTTTGGACTGTGGGGGAAACCGGAGCACCCGGAGGAAACCCATGCAAACATCGTGTTACCCACTGCACCATTGTGTCACCCCACAATATAGCCAAGAATACGTATCTGTCAATACATGCTACATCTGATAACTTACTGTATTTTTAGAGCCAGGCACTGTCTAAATACTGTTTCTTTTTGGGCTGAAATGCATTCTTGTGTATTTTCATTTCAGTGCAGCTGGACTTTGATTTTCCAGGGACTTCATTCTTCTCAAAAGTCAGCAGCGAGTTTCATTCGAAACCTGTGAGTTAAACAGAGCTCATGACTTATTCTTATTAGGTGCACTGTAAACTTTTAGAATTCACCAAGAAACTATTCCTTACTCTTGTAAATTCATTTCCTTATCATTTTTTTAGCCTTACATTGAATATTTCAACTCAGAGTTAAATGACTCGATCTTACATAATCTTCCTTTTTTTTCCACAGGATACTGAAAATGCAAATGCGACCTTTTTCTCTGAGAACGAACTGACACGTCATATTTCCCTCTTGAGCGCAGTATTGAGAGTTCTGGACAGCAATGCAGAAATCATAACACCTTCTGATCTTCTGTACCTCACTGAAACCATAGAGAAAGCCACTCAACTCAATAAAATAGGCATTCCTGCTGAACTCTTCAAATCCATGATCCGCAAAAACCTAGAACTAGTCAGCAGGCTCATTGACCCCAATATGGCCGAAAAGTGGGAGGATTTGAAAGTATGTGAAGTTTGTTTGTGGGACTGAAAGTTGGATAAAACCCTACTGTTTTAGAAGTCAAGTTTATAACGTTTTTTCTGTTTTTTTTTTAGAATTACCCCGGACCATTGACAATTATAGAAAATATTGACAAGCAGTTATGGATTCTGGCGGATGAGCTCTGGGCCGAACACCAAAGCTTCACAATGTCAACAAAGAGCATGGGTACAGTGTTTTTGACTCATTTATCATGACGAGGTAGCATATCAAAAAATAAAGAGTCAATATATGTTTCCTTGAGAGGTTTTAGAGTAAAAATGACATAGTCTGTTCTGAACAGGTGTTAATAATTAGCCATTGCTTTTTTAGTTGTTCTATCATACAAAACATACAAGTAACAATAACGGCTTGTTATATCAAGAGTCAAGAGACCAATTGCTTCCCTAGATATCCATCTGGAGCCGCGACGACTGGCTCAGGTGAGCTGCGGTTGTGTTTTCAAGCCCTCAGTTCACGGCGGTCAGTTTGGCAGCCATGATGAAATCATCATACCAGAGTCTGAAATGCAGAGAGTCTTTACTTTAGGTAAGATGGTATGGATTGTTTTGATTGATTTCAGAAAATAAATGTCATGCCAAATGTTTTTAAAAAGCATCTGTTGCTAACAGGCCATAAGGAAGTGATGCTGATTCATACGTACTACAGTAACCTGGCTGAGATCTTGTCCAGACTGGAGGTCAAAACCACTGCTGAACAACTGACAGACGGCAAGAGGTCAGCAAGAGCCAACTCAATGTCTTCATACCAAAAACTTTAATCTTTTCATCCTAATGCACAGTTAGGGGGTGTATTTCATTTTTTGTCTATAATATATATATTGTTTTGGAATGGGGGCGGCACAGTGGTTCAGTGGTTACCACATTCATTTCAAAGCAAGAAGGTTGCAAGTTCGAGTCCCAGCTGCACTAGGAGGCATTTCTGTGTGGAGTTTGCATGTTTTCCCTTTGTTCACATAGGTTTCCTCCGGGTACTCCGCTTTGCAGGATTGAATAAACTAAATTAGACATTGTGTATAAGTGTATTTCCCAGTACTGGGTTGCAGCTGGAAGGTCATCCGCTGAGTAAAACGTATGCTGGAATAGTATAAATAAATAATGAAGGTTTTGGCATGTAGCCACACCCCCAAACTCTGTAATTAGTCAAGCTGAAAATTGATTGGCGGATTTGAATGTAGTTTTTATGAATTTTTTAATTTTGTTGAACACAAAACATGACATCCTGAAGGATGCAGGACAAAAGCAGCCACTTTTAGGGGTGTGTAATATTTTTTTGTCCATGATAAAGTTGTTGTGTATGGTTTTATTAAGTTTGAACTGGTATTATCCCAAAACGGAAACATTTTTTGAGAATTTAAAAGCATTCACTGCATGACAAAGCCTATTAGCAGTCAGTCATATTATTAGTTAAAACATCCCTGTATGTATAGGTGTGTGTGTGTGTGTGTTTTTATATAAACACTAGCAGGAGCACTTTTTGTAAAATATAAGCATGGATCATTTCAGATCTGATATTGATTTGATATAACTGTTAAACTAAAATAATAATAATAATAATAGTTTACATTTTAGACATTACATTGTCTGTTTTATTAAAATGTTCTAGAAAATTTTCTAACAAAGCAGAAGCAGAACATTTGTCTCTAAGAACAATACTGTTGTGTTTTGTTCCAGAATGATTTTGCTTTTGAGCTGTTTGAGTCAATTATTAATTCATTTATAAGCCATTTAAATTAATCGATTGAATGAATGGTTGAATTAAAGGCAAGGACTTGTCATCATTGGTGGTTTTAATGTCAATTATTTATTATTAACTAAACCAGAATAGAAAAAAAAAAAAACGCTTTTAGCAAATTATGTTTGTTATCATTATTAGGAAAAATAGCTTTATGATAAATACGTTTTATACATACATTTTTTTTCATCAGTTTAACACACTTGTTTTTTTTATTTATTCACAGGCATCACACTGGTCAGCTGGCCACAGCAGTGATCTCAGCGACAGTGCGGGATGTTCCCAGAGCAGAAAATATTCCTGTGTCTGTCCAGTACACTTTATCCTCTGGGATTCAGGTAAAACAAACAAACAAACAAACAAAAACGGTGCAAGCCAAGTATGTAGCGGATAGCAGTCATACCCCAAACCCTGCTATTGGTCGATCTGAAAAGTGATTGACAGATTTGAGCAGACTGCTGTCAGGTGTTTTGATGGAATCAGGGAGGCTCTATGTTTACCCTTATAGTAGTCAGTGAGCTATAAACTCAGTAAATAATGCTTATCTTAAAATAAATGAATAAAAAAATTAAATAAAAGAATTGCAACTGTACTAAATGTTTTGTGTCTGAAACTATTTTTTTTTATAATTTATTATTATTTTGTACATTTTGGTTTGGTTTTGTTTTGTTTTATATATCAAATATATAATATATCAAATATGTAGTTTTTTTGACTATATCAAATAAATAAATAAATAAATCAACTATCGCTTAATATATGGGGCGACACGAAGGCTCAGTGCTTACACTGTCGCCTCAAAGCAAGAAGATTGCTGGTTCGAGTCCCGGCTGAGTCATTTGGCATTTCTGAATGGAGTTTGCTTGTTCTCCCCGTGTTTGCGTGGGTTTCCTCCTTGGATTTCCCCCACAGTCCAAACACATGCGCTGTAGGTTAATTGAATAAACTAAAAATTGACTGTAGTGTATGAGTGTGTATGGATCCATCTCAGTACTGTGTTGGAAGAGCATTCGCTCTGTAAAACATATGCTGGATAAGTTGGCGGTTCATTCTGCTGTGGCAACCCCGGATAAATAAAGGCACTAAGCCGAATGAAAATGAATGAAAAATGAATAATACATCAGTCATACTAAATAATATTACTTTGACACTTTTTCCTTATTTTTATTGGTTAAGACTGAATACTCCAAACATGCTACTCCCGTCTGTGTCTTCTGGAATATTGGCTTGATGTAAGTAATATAATCATGTTGTTAATTTGGTTTCTGTTATATTACATCAGGTCTTCTTTAAGTCTGATTTTGTGTTCACAGGCCGGGTCATACAAGTGCTTGGTCCAACAAAGGGTGCAGAGTGGTGCCTTCACCTCTTGATGTCACTTCCTGCTTTTGCAACCACACCACCAATTTTGCTGTCCTCATAAATTATATGGAGTCACGGGTATGTTTATAGTGTGTTAGAAGTGTAACCAATTGCATGCTGTAGACAAAGATTTCTTACCTAATGGAATAATAAATGTCAAATAAATTATATTAGTTACAATCTGCTCACATGTGCAAATATTATATTAATAGCATATTTTATGTATCTTTTAAATGTAATTATTACATATTTTAAATATTGTCAATTATTTAAAATGGGTAAAATCACAGTTTTCTGTTGTAATGTTTTAAAATCTCATTTATTTCTGTGATGCAATGCATAAATGTCAGTATCATTTAAATTAATATGTAAAAAACTAATGATAAACATTGCTGCTTAATAATTTTGTATTAATAGTGAGATTTTAAATTAAGATAAAATACATTTCATTTGTCATTTTATTTAATAAAAATCTGAAATAAAAATGTGAATTAAAATGAAACAAAAATATAATTTTAAATGTTTTTTAATAATTAATTTTATATTAAATTATTGATTTGTTATTAATTAAAATTTAAATTATCATATTACAGTAAAAACACTCACTTATACACACTTTAAACGCAAGATCAAAATTATTAGCCCCTGTAAGCTAATTTTTCTGTCTACAGAACAAACCTTCATTATACAATAACTTGACAATTACCCTAACCTGCCTAGTTAACCTAATCAACCTAGTTAAGCCTTTAAATGTTACTTTAAGCTGTGTAGAAGTGTCTTAAAAATATCTAGTCAAATATTATTTAATGTCATCATGGCAAAGATAAAATAAATCAGTTTTTAGAAATGAGTTATTCAAACTATTATGTTTAGAAATGTGTTAAAAATCTTTTCAACAAAACAGAAACAGAAATTGGGGTAAAAATAAATGGGGGCTAATAATTGAGGGGAACGAATAATTCGGACTTAAACTGTATGTATGTATGTATGTATATATATACACAGCCAAAATAAACAAGAAATAAAAGAGGCAGATAAGCATATTAGCAATAAAATATTAATAAAATACATTTGAATGTATAATAAAATTAAAAACTGTTTTTTAAAGTTATAACATTCCCTGTATAATAATGTTCATATACATTTTTGAAGCCTTGAATATAAGATAATGTTTCCTAAAAATAATTATTCCTTATAAAATGTTTTGTAATGAAATGAAAAATGATTGTGTTTTTAAATGTTACATTGAATATCTGTTTTAACACAATCTGTCCAGTAGAGGTCACTGTTAGCTTACAATTGTCCTAAATAAAGCCTTAGTGAATTAGCATCCAGCGTTATATGTATATGTTCTCTGTAAAACTTTATAAACAGCAAATATGATTTTACTTTAATCCTAAACAGGCATTACATTACTAAAACATATATATCTCTCATATCAGTATATGAGCATAATGGCTCCACAATTGTGTTTTGATGGCGTTTTCTCCACAGTGGAGCGCTACAGAGGAGAGTGTTCTGACGAAGCTGACGTTTATCGGGTCTGGAGCGTCTCTCTGTGCACTGCTGGTGACCTTGATGCTGTTTACTGTGTTGGAGTAAGTGCTTTTCACCCATACACCGCATCATTCACCGTCTTTATCATGTCTGACTTCTAGTGTTGGCTTCCTGAGGACTGTAATGGGGGTCAAAAGTGCCACCAATACGCCTAAAATTATTATATTTTTTTCAACTGGTGCTAAATTATTTTTTAGTAGCTATAAAGATTTATATACATTATTTTATTAAAAAACTGAAGAAATAAGCTCTTAATCAAATGGTTTTGCATTATTTATTTTGTGAACGTTGTGTTATTTAAATTAGCTTTTGTTTTTCATTAATTTTATTTACATTTTTGTAATTTTTTTGCACTGTTTTTAGTACTAACATTTTTATTATATGCAAAATTTTTTAAATAGTTATTCTCATTCATTCATTTTCTTTTCGGCTTAGTCAGTTTAATAATCTGGGGTCGCCACAGCAGAATGAACCACCAACTTATCCAGCATATGTTTAATGCAGTGGATGCACTTCCAACTGCAACCCATCACTGGGAAACATCCATATACACTCATTCAAACACACACACACACACACACACACACACACACACACACACACACACACACACACACACACACACACACACACACACACACACAAAGGACAATTTAGCCTACCCAATTCACCTATAGCGCATGTCTTTGGACTTGTTGGGGAAACCGGAGCACCTGGAGAAAACCCACACTAACATTGGGTGAACATGCAAACAGCACACAGAGATGCCAACTGACCCAGCCGAGGCTCAAACTAGCGACCTTCTTGCTGTGAGGTGATCAGGCAACCTACTGCGCCACCGTGACGCCCTAAATATTTATTCTAAATATGCTACTTTTTTATTCTTAATGTATGCTAAAAGTACTAAATATTTTGATAGACTTTGTAGGCACCATTTTTTAGGGCCAGACATAATGTGGATTAGGAAAGACTATTTTCAAATGTAACTGTGATGCAAAGATGTATCCATGATAAAAGTGCCCTGACTGTTCCTCCTATTGTGATAAGCAAAAGAAACAACAAATACGCGAGTGAGTGAGTAATTAGTAGGGCCAGACATAATCTGCAGACATTTTTTTGCTCAGAATTGTAAAAGAAAGCTGCAGATTTGTGTGCAATAATTTTGATAGTATCATAACTAAAAGCTTATTATCTGAAAAAAAAAAAAATACTTTTAAACTTTTATTCAATGTTTACAAAGCAAATCCATTTAGATCCACTTATTTGGTAAACAAAGCAAATCTTTTCTATAATATATCTACTGAAGGACAGAAACGTATTTATATTAGTAAATATTTTTACTGAAATTAATTTAAAAACTGAATAAATAGAAATGTACACACGTTTACACAAGCAAATAATCTAAATATGAATATCAATGATGGGATAAAAATCTGCGGATTTCTACATACAGATTCTGTGTGGGCCTACTTATGGCTTATGACTTATGGCTCAGTTTTTATTCATTCATTCATTTTCTTGTCGGCTTAGTCCCTTTATTATACTGGGGTCGCTACAGCGGAATGTTGTCCGTGTTCGCGTGGGTTTCCTCCAGGTGCTCTGGTTTCCCCCACAGTCCAAAGACATGCAGTATAAGTGAATTGAATAAAATAAATTGGTCGTAGTGTATGTGTATGGGTGTTTCGCTGTATAAAACAGGCTAAATAAGTTGGCGATTCATTCAGCTGTGTCGACCCCTGATTAATAAAGGGACTAAGCTGAAAAAAAAATGAATGAATGAATAATATATAATTATTATTACTACTTGTCTTGAAAGTGCAAGAAGAAAGTGAGAAGGTGGGGTTGTGCCTTAACATCAAAAACACGAAGGTGACCTCCGAGAATGGAAGATGCAGCATAAAGATCCACGATCCACAAGAAATCGAGACAGAATAGGACTTTATATTCCTTGGTTCCAAGATTGACCGAAATGAGGACACGACACCTGAAATCAAGAGACGATTAACCCTTGGTGTGCATGAATGCCGTCTGGGAAAGTAAGAATATCAGCACCACAACTAAAGCAAGGCTAGTCAACATGACCATCTTCCCTATAGCAACCTATGGCTGCGAGACTTGGACAATCAAGAAGGCAAACAGAAGAAAGATCAACGCCTTCGAGTTGTGGTGCTGGAGGAGACTGTTGCACATCCTGTAAACAGCGAGAATCATCAACAAAGAAGTTTTAGGGTGCATCAAGTCAAAGACAGAGTGATATAAATTGAGTGAATAATAAAGTTTTTATTAAAGGGAAATTTAATTTTCACACAATACAACCATAAACATTACAGTTTCCTTCTATTTAGTAAATAATTCAGTTTATTTCTTATGGCGACTTTGAAATAAAGAACAAACAAACAAACAAACTCGTTAGCCAATTACCAAAAGAAACACTGTTTCATTTGTTCGCCGGGAACCTTTTGTTACTCTCATTTGCGTGTTCATTTTGTGGCCTGAGTGTTTGGGCTCATAGACTCATAACATGAACTCACAATCACAGTCCTCACGGTTGTCAATAGCGCTCAGTCCTGAGACCGAATCCTTATTGAAAACCACTAATCGGCTAATTAGTGCTCGGTGCCAAATGAGCCCGAAGCTGAAGTTTTATGGTGACATTACAGGGGGAGTTAATTAAAGCAGCGGCTCAAACCAAAAGAGCTTCATCAGCGCCGTATCAACCAAGCTGATTCTTTCAGAGATTTACAGCCTCCACAAACACTCCCACTTCATCTGGATTAAGACCACACACTGCAGGTGTGAACAAGACAGCGAGAATTAACGTACAGCTATGACTTGTTGATCACTACACTTAAAATAGTAACATTTGTACAAACTGCTTATTATAAATGAGCTGAAACAACACAATTCTTTAACATTTTTTTAAAATGAAGTTTTTTTGAGGGACAACTTCATTCTTTTACAAAATTGATTGTATGGAACCCAGCATTTTTTACAGTGTACACTCAAAAAATGATATTTGCTGTTTGTTCAAACTACTTATTTAAAATGATACGACACATTTTTTTTTTTTTTAAACTTGTTTGTTTTGTGTTCAATCCACTTAAATTTGTAAAATCTAATAAGTTACCTTAATTCTTTCATGTTGTGCAAACACAAATTAAAGATGTTTTTATGCAGGTATTATTTTTAGTCTTACAAGAAAATGTTTAAATAAATAAATAAATACATAAAAAATTATATATGTGTGTATATATATATATATATATATATATATATATATATATATATATATATATATATATATATATATATAACGATAGCAAATAAATGTGAATTAATATGACCAGGAATGTTTCTTTTTTTTTTTTTAACAGCATCCCGAAATCAGATCGTACATCAGTCCACAAGAACCTATTTGTGTCTCTGACCTGTGCTCAGATTGTTCTTCTCTGCAGTGGATCTGCTGTTCATAATAAGGTATAAAGTTTTTCCACACTTTTATTTGGTGCACAACATTCAAAACTTGAGTTAAAGTTGCCCCCTCATTTTAAACTGTAAAATTAGCTCCTTTATTTTAGTATTATTTGTGAACTTTTATCTATGTAGCTTTCATAATATTTTATATAAATAAACAGCTTTATTCTTATAACCATTATTAGCTGTTAAATGTTATTTTATATAGCTTTAGGTAAAAGTAGCGACACCACTATACTGTTTTATTATTATTATTATTATTATTATTATTATTATTATTATTATTTAAGATAAAAATAGCATAATATGATTAAAATAATAAATCTAGTCATATAATAAGGAGCTATAAAAGGATATAAATATGATTGTTTCATTAGCATTAAAGTAGTAATATTTATGTCTCCTTCATTTTATGTAAATAAATTATTAAAATTTGCAGAATATAATTATTTCTATATATTAATAGAGTATTATATAATGACTATATATAATATAATTACTATGCATTAGTTATATAATTTAATTTGTTTTTATGATTTATTCATAATTATAGTAATATAAAATAATACAATAATATATTATTAATAAATATGTAAAAATATATAAATATCTTTAGAAAATCTGTTTTATTATATCAGTTAGTAGAAGCAAATGCAAACATTTTAATCAGTTTTTTCAGCTTTTTATATATATAATTGTTTTTAAAAATATTGTTTTTTAATTTCAGCTAAAGAAGCAGAATAAAAAATGCATTGCATTTTGATTCTTTTTTGTTTGAGTAAATTTAGTACATTGTTTAGCATTAATTATGTAATTAAGGTTTTATAAACGGTGCCAAATATTCATTTTTTTATTACTTTTCATTACAATTATGTAATATACATATATATATATATATATATAAATATATATATAAATATATATATATATATATTATTTGTTATCATATTTATATCACATATAAATATATTTTTTTCATATATTTATGTTTTTTCAGCTTTTATATCAGTGTCAAAATATAATATCTATTTTTAAAAGTAGTAATATACATGTATCAATTAATTAAAAGATATTTATTTTATAATACAAAATATTTTATTGATTTGCTTTACTATATTAACTCCCATCCTCAAGTGCCAGTCCTGAAGTCTGTTTCCAGAACAATTACAAAATAGTCCCATCAGGCTGACAGTGTCTTAAAACAACATTAGTGTTGCTGTTATACTTGGCACTGCATGAACTGACACACGGCCACCTTTGTGAGTCCGTTTGACCTGCTGACCCCTGAGCGTCTGCCCTCTGACCTTTGCCCTGTAGGTGGCCTGTATGCTTGTGGCGGCTCTGATGCATCTGTTCTTCATGGCTGCCTTTAGCTGGATGCTGGTCGAAGGCCTGCTGCTCTGGAGCAAAGTAGTGAGCGTTAATCTGAGCGAAGACCGCCATATGAAATACTACTACCTGATTGGCTGGGGTAATGCGTCTCTGCCTACAGTATACTGAGTTACTTGTTGGGTTTGATGGTATAGCTATGCTGAAAACCTGTTGATCTGATAGAGAATGTACTTTGTACT